ATACCGCACTTAGCCGGTTGGCCGGGGTTGACGTTGGCTCGTCCCAGTAACATTTTCACTACTCCTTCGTGCCCATCCCGAGCAGCAGAACCGAGTGGCGTTTGGCCATATGAATCTACTATGTTGGGGTCGACGCCTTCGCGTCCGAGCAGTATTTCCACCACTCCCTCGTGCCCATTCGTGGCAGCCAACGCGAGAGGTGTGCTACCCTGAAAGCCTATTTGGTTGATATCACAACCTTCTACCTCTACCAAACTAGCGACAATCGCGACAATCCCAAAGAAGGACGCACAGTGTAGGTCACTAAACTGGAGGCGTGCACCACAACGGGAATAATAACACTGCTTCATATGCGCTTCCAAGAGGATATCAACGGATATGTGACTACTCGTACTGTAGTCATCGAATAGCTTTAGCGCAAGCAATTTCGCACAATCTGAAAGCTCCCTTTTTGCGTGGACTCCCCAATATAGAGAAGAATATCTGAGAAAGGGTGTGTCTTGGATATTGGGGGAGAGATAAAGGTCGAAAAAGAGGTTGAAACGGGTATCGGCAGAGTGAGGGAAATAGCGAGTAGGGTTGATCGAAAGAGCTTTGACCTGCTGCGAATTCAGGTAGCTTAAGCAAGTTTCTGCCATGGTCGAGTGAGCTGTACCAAAAAGTTCGGGATGAGCCCGGAGGTACTCGTGAAGCGTAAAGTGGATTAGCCGAACCGTGGAAGCCTCCTTGTCTACGCGAATAAGCCCTTGGCAGCATGTTAACAATGTCCCTATTGAAGGAACATTGTCGATATTAAGATTCGGCGAGCCTATTTCGACCGCTAGAGCGTGGCACAGTTCCTTAGGACTCAAGGGCTCCTCCGAGTGTGAGATCCACATCAAAGTAGCTATACCGAGCCTCGCTTTCTCCCCACCCTGTGCCTTTATCCGGTCCAGCGTTGCGCTATAAGCATCCCCTAACCCCAACCCATCGGTCATTGCGCTGAGCCTTTGTCGCCTCCGATGGATTGTAGTTTCTTCCAGGATCGCATCGATATTCAACGAGACTAACAGGAATCTAGATACGCAAAACTCAGTGGATGACTTGAGGTAGCTATCCCAGCACCCTTGATTCCACGTACATTTCTGAAACATCTTCAGGAATTTTCCTCAAGATATCTCCCTGCAGATTACTATCCATTGCATCTGGCGTTGTATCCTCATCCAGTCTTGTATGGAGATATCTGATAATATCATCTCTCTTGGTGCTAATGGATACACTCCTTACTCTTCCACCAAGGCGCCTTCCGATCTCAGGTTGAATGTGTGGTCTTCCGGTAACGAATATTCGAGTGCCCGAAGACTGTTGGAGAACTTGACTTAGCGAGTCAAGAATCTTGAGCCGATGCCCCGCTGCACACTCGTCCAGAGCGTCGATACATATGAACGTGCGCTTTGTGGAAGAGGCAATCTGCATCATCTTCACGATTTCGGAAAGCTGCGGTCCCCGCCCACCAATGACCCCTTTCTGGTCTTTATAGGCTTGCAGAATCTCACCCGGTATCTCTCCCAACCCACTTAGAACCTGCTTGAGCACAGCGCCCAGCATACTGGTCGGTACCTGCTCCTTTTCAGCCACGAAATCAAAATAAAAACACGCAACGGCAGCATTTTGTCCTTTAGCCTGATCGCACAGCCTATCTACCACCAAGGAGCTAACATCGCAGCCTGTCAGTACCTGTAACCTCCCACCAATTCCCTAATAATAGCTCTAGTTACCTGATGAAAGTCTTGCCAACACCCGGATCTCCGTAACAAAACAATACTGCCCTATCGGATTCATCCTCCCCACCACCGGCATACCATTCTCTGAATTCCCTGGTTTGTAGTAGCCATTCCCCCACATTTCCGACACGGTTTCCTTGAACGTCCTGGTGCCGTAACCTGGGCTCTACGGGAGACAACCAGGTCAAGATTTGAGGTCGGTCATCCGCGACGGTACTGTTGTTATAAACGTTAAAAGCGTTGATATTATTACTGAATGATTGAGACATCTTCGATTTTTCGCCGCTTAGGGTGCTGTAGATGATGGATGATGGGAGTTAGTCGACAACTGGAATCTCCGAGGGCTGAAGAAAAAGGCGGGGCATTTGTGGAACGTCACGGAATCTGGTACCAGTACTTGAACCACCTGACCGCCTAATCAGTCTCTCCTAAACATGTGCCAACACTCTACTTATTCCTACCGCATTGGTAGGGGGAAATGTCACCCCTTTATCTTCTACCGTACCGGTATCGTGCAATACAGTACCGATACAGCACAAATCTCGCACTGTGGTGGCAGGCTTGTGAAGAGGCATTCTGCCCTCGATCATGATTTTCCCCTCAGTCCCCCCCTCGTGTAAACCTATATTAGTGCAGCTAGGATACACCTTATACGTCGAGCACTGCGATGAACGAGCATCCTAGAGCGCCTACGGTAGAATCTGGTAGATTGGCTCCGTATACAGATATAATACCGGTAGCATGAAACTTTACGAATTAATCAGTTGAAAAAACCACACACCACCCAACTCAAATCATCATAGTAGGGTCCTTCGTGGTGTGTATATAAGGCGGAAAGCTCTGCCGGCAATCACATACCGAGTTCTCTAAGCATAGGAGTCGTGCTTCCCGATATCTGGAAGACGGACAAGCACTGTACCTGTACAGTTAGAGTATCAAGGTGGTCTGCTGACTCTACACTCGTATCACTCTAGACAGCCGCCAAGTATTCCGAATGGATAATAAATCAAAACCTCGGGGAGTAGAAAAGCTGTGATATATTGCCGGATGAGACAAAGCTGGCTATTAAGTTTAAACAAGTCAGGATTCCTTGTTCCGTGTTCAGCCCGTCATTAGAAGAACCGAAAAGTCCCACAAGTATCATACATTTTCTTACTCCTCTCCATTCCAGCAATCAACCCCCGGCCGACAAGCCGTGCCACCTCTACCTTCGAGACTTATCGCCCTACCCTGACCCTAGTTCTACTTCTCACGATACCGGTATACCGTATCGTAGATGCCACACCATAGGCACATTACCGCCCAACGGCGGCCAGAGAGTATAAGCCTGCCCGTGTGGAGATAGTGAAGGAAATCATCAGGTGCGGTTCGATCAGGGAGGAAGGAAGCACAGCCTTTATAGACTCTCGAAGTAAGTCTGTGCAAGTAGGGATCGGAGATCGGTGGCGCTATCGTGGATACGAGTAACTACAAGGTATTGCACCGGTAGCTGACAGGGTAGTCCCGATAGCAGGCTACTGGGAGACAAGAACGGGCATCATGGCGACTGGTCGGTACTGCAGTGGTCGCGAGCAGGAGTGTGCGGTTGAGCGGGGGCATCCGGAGTCGTGCGTGGGCGCGTGGGTGTTCGTGGGAGCGTGGGCGTTCGCGGACGCGGGGGTGTTCGCGGTTGTGCGGGAACGTGGGCGCTCGTTCGCTGCTGCAGGCGAGTAAGAATACGGGCGCGCCGGCGATAACCCATAGACTCCAACACACTCTTTACGGTGCTTGGACTGCAAGAGTAGCCCATTTCCAGACATATGTCATCCCAGCCAAGACGCCGTGTCGTCTCGTCGCGCGTCACGAATGTCTCCAATCGCTGCTTTTCGTCATTGTCAAAGATCGGCCGGCGGCCAGTACGGTGGCGGTTCGAGGGCGATCCGTTCTCTTTGGCGCGTTTGTAAATCTTTGAGCTTAATGTTAGGCCAACCGAGTCCACCGCCGAGCAAGCCCGGGCTGATATAGCACCCCACTCACCTTTTGACAGGTTCTCCGATCAATGTTTAGGTGCTGACCGATCCTCGACCAATTCCATCCAGCATCGTCGTGGAGAGTAATGACCTTGATACGCTCATCTCGCGTAGTTTCACGGTGTCGAACACCCTTCGGGTTTTGCTCACGAACACCGTTTTGTTTCATGATTTCTGTAATTCGCGTTCGCAGCAGAGTCTAGGAGAGATGTGGTGTGTTTTGTTCACAGTTATGCTCCTGCCGACACATATAATAAAGGGGCAATCGTGCCGCAATCACCATATTGCCAAGAGGGGGGCGGTGGGGGCGAGGGTATGTTTCGCCGCGCCCCAAATAGCCGGAAGTGCAAGTATCAAAGCGGTAGGGTAATTTATTCAGAAAAATATGGTCAACCCTCGGTTGCAAATCACATGCCCGTAGCAACAGTGGCCCCGAAGTACTGGTATTATGCTTGTACCCGAGTGCAGTATCATAAATTTAAGAAAAATTTCAACCGCAACTACAATTTTAGGAAGATATAGCCTCACAAAACTGCGCGGGAGACACTCATCTGCAATTCCATCCTTTCTGACTTTCAATTGGAGCAATATTGGTGGATATAGTAATATTTCGAATCTGCCCACGCACGGTGCGTTCGAGGTCACTTTCCCCAAGCCCACCACTTTTAACGTATTATGTAAGCGAACAATGGCTACACGCACCAGACACTTACAACCACAATGTGATTCTCTCTTCCGCTATATCATTTCGCCATCGGTACAGCACAGTAGGCTAAAGCTCGTTTCGCCTTGAACCTTATCCAGCCGGGTTCCTCGTCAGGGGTCGTTCACGTGGGGTTGGTCCAGCCCGCGGGAAGGCGGAAGGGTAGGGTTTTCGGCCCACATACCGGCAAGTTACAAAATATCTATCAACAAGTGGATACCGAGATGCTCCATATGTTCTCGCAACCGCTCAGCCCAACTCGATTCCGTGTACTCTGGTGTAAGGCTATTTCACGACCGGTAGCACAAATCCTTTCGCAGCGTTGTTGCACCAGAATTGCTAGACCTACTTCTCCTCTGGAAGTGGACCCGACTTTTGGGAGCCACCAAACACCTCTCACCCATTATCACTCGAATTCCCTAATCTGGTTTAGTTTACATACAAATCTGACATTTTGTAATGGCGGTGGACGCGACTTTTCTCTACCCTAGTACATGACATTGTGGCCATTCATCCGTACGCCTTGACCAATCTCACATTTTATCAAAGGAAAAATAAATAAACAAATAAATAAATAAATAAATAAATAAACGGGATTGAATTGGGCGGAACAGAGGACATGAGTGCCGGAAGCCAAACAAACACAGAAAGGCAACTGAAAAGGGAAGAGAAAAAAAAAAGAGGCGAAAGGAAAGAAACAAGGGCTCGGAATCAGGCCCACATCTTCTTGAATTTCTCTTCAAACCTTTTTCTGAGAATCGTGACCGCCTTCAGTACATTTTTGAACCCCGGATCCACAGCCTCGGAACTGACCCCACTACTCCCATCATCGGTAGTTGTACTCGCTGCTACACTTTCCTTATCATCCTCATCATCTTCGTGAATATCCCCATCGACGTCATCCCCCTCGTCTTTAAAGTCGTAATAAGCGCCAGGCCCGTCCCGGATAAAGCATGTCAGACCCGTTTCTATCGCGGCGAGAACGAGTGAAAAGTCCTTGAGGACGAACCAAACACTCCCGGCTTGGATGCCGTGATGCTGATCGAGTTTCTTGACATCACCGTGGATGTAGAAGTAGTACAAATATCCGTTCACAGTGGAGGAGTCATCAGCCGGGAGGTGAGGGACAGACGCGCCATCGATCAAAACTCCGCGACGGACGGAGCTGGTGAGATCATTCACCGAGGTGAAGTTGTCGCCGTGGCCGGAGAGAGCTACAAACGATGAGCGGGACTTCACGTTGGGTTCTTCGATCGTTCCTTTGGCGCCGCACTCAAGTCCGGAAAACGGCAGCACGTTGTCCGTATTTTTGCAATACGACTTGACGAAAGACTCCACGTACGCCACATAGGTCCTCAAAGTTCGCTCGTTCTGATCCGCCAAGAGTTCGGCGGCAGCGGCCGGGAGTGGTGGAAGTGACTTGTGCCTAGGAAAGCACTTTTGCTCCCGGCCAAATATATTGGCCAAGACCAACATGAGTTCCAGGCAAACGCTGTCGGGGGATTTGTTGATGTTCTTGCATAGCTCTTTCATGTAGCCATTGCAGAGCAAAACGTGTAATGCAAAACTACTATTCTCAACGTAGTATAGGTGACTAGTCAAACCGGCAAAGTTAAGCGGCCGTCCGTTCGAGCCAATGAGCTTCTGCCTGCGCAAGAACTCGATGGAGAATCGTAAATGGTGGAGAACCTGTTCCTTAAACTCGCCTCCTCCAATCACTAGCTTCCCCTGACTAAGCAGGGTATTTATTGTATGCTTTGCATGATCGGACTCGTTGGAATTATGAAGCAATATGAACAAGCGGAGCACTAGGGAAGTGCTAATCGGGAAATGGCCAATCAATGATGGAAGCTTTGAAGACATAATCCTCTCGACTTTCGCAGGTGAGAAGGCGTGGAATACAACATTTCCCAGATTGTCGAATCCTCGACGCCCAGCCCGACCAGCTGCTTGGCGATAATTAAGTGAATTGAGGTAAACCGACTCTCCCACGAATACACTACTGCGAGTTGGCATATTGATACCTAACGAAAGGGTGCCAGTAGCGATGACCACGCGAAGATAGCCCTTTCGGAAGAGCATCTCCACCGCTTGACGATATTTCCTGACCAAAAATTAAAAAAAGCCAAAAACTAAAGCTGGAGAGACAACACACCTATTCAGACCACTATGATGCACCCCAATACCGCGTGAAAATGCATGGACCAATCCCTCTGGAATGCCCCAGTGGATCAAGTTATCGATATCAGCCTGCAAATCCGACTTGGCGTGTTTCTTAAAATCGGCAAATGAAAACTCTGGCGATGGATGGCGGGGATCGAACGAAGACCAGAAGCTACTATCATGTTCGGCAGTCTCGCGCATCATATCTGCCTTAGTAGATCCTGGGGGAAGAATTATTTTCGCTTTCTTAGCCCCCCGCGAACCCCTATCAGCCTTATATTTTTCCCAGTCCTTGATGATTTTCTGCCACTTGGGACTATTCTCGCGCCAGATTTTTTCGGCGGTCTCCAGTTGCGAACAAAGCATGGCGCAAATTTTTTCACACAGAAGGCGATCGTATGAGAATAGAATTGCCGGTAGAGCGTTTGCGGAATGAAGTGCTTGTAGAAGCGGTAGCGTAGTCTTCTCCAAATAGTCCCTCGTGCAGCTCGGAGGAGGAAGGTCCACAAGCAAGGGACCACTTCCCTCCGCAGGCGCTCCGCTGTCACCTCCATCTTCATATTCCTTGTCCGGCACAGCTTTCATTACTGCTTCGGCTGCTAACAGCTTAGTAACTTCCGCAAATATTGGCTCCGCGTCCTTCATCCAATTATGAAGGACTTGCTTCAATTTTTCCTCCCACTTGAACACCTCCGCTTTGGTTATTACCTTTCCTTCAGTGCCGAAAACCTCTTTAAGGTCAAGAACCTTCGGGAAAGGACACTCCGAGGTTTGACATTTCGACATCGCCCAATAAAGTTGTAGGCAATCCTTCGGCTCAAGTGACATATCGTTCGGTATGCCCCGCTTAGTGTTAGCAAGCGTTGCAACCGGATGAACAGCCCGCACGTAATCAGCCATTTCCAACTGGTTGAACCTCGAAACTTTCTGGGGCATTCCCTCAAACGAGGTCATCCCTTTCCTCGGAATATACACGAACTTGCGTAAATCGGAGTAACGGGATGGGTGCTGGACAACGGTAAGCTTTACGCCAACAGACCTCTGCGCTGACGCAAGCCAAGAACCGAATTCTTCCGGATTTCCAACAGTTGCTGATAGAGCGATGATCGGGCATGGCGCAAGTAGGAGCAATTGTTCCCAGACAATACCGTCATCAGCATTGCCGATAGAGTGTACTTCATCAAAGATGATGCGTTTAACACGGGGCGTCCAACTTTTGGCATTCGGGGGGGACATAAGCATGATTTGAAGAATTTCGGGGACCGTGATGAGGATTTGGCACTCGTTGGGGTTGTTCATCCGGTAATCGCGTGTGTGAATAGCCCAGACCGTCTTCCCGGCATAACGGTAGTTTTTCTTATACCGCGAGATGACTTCCGCTGCAATTTGATTCACCTAAATCACAAATTAGCATCGAAGTTTGCGAGTGATTAAATGTGAATGAGAACAGGAACACACACCAATGCCTTTGTAGGGGCCACATAGACTAAAACACCTTCATCACTCTCCTTGAGAACCTTTTCCATAGCGTAAAACGCGATGAAGGTTTTTCCCGCACTAGTTGGGGCTACCACGAATAACGAATTATTCTCGTCTAGTTCATCCAAAACTCTCCTCTGCCATCCGTCGGGTTTGAAGGGTACACGGGGATCAGGTCGAGAGTCCATGTTTCTATCCATCCAAGGCCCGCAATGCAAAAGCTGGAATTCCTCGCTCGTCATACCAAGTCTAGTATCGGCGGATTCGCACCTTCCATCCCAGAGTTTGGCGAATAGGACTTTTCGATCCGGAAGGGAGGTTAGCGGATCGCTCGGGGGTTTGAGGATTCCAAAGGCTTCGAATACGTTGCTCAAAATTTGGTGAACCTTGCGTGTCATACCTCCGGAGAAGAGAGCAAGGCGAGCTTCGTTGAACAGCGCGGAGGCAGCTGCATAACCGTGCTCCTGCTCTCCGCGCTTGCAATAACCAGCCCATATTCGCTGGAGAAGCTGAATCTTATACAAGCGCGCTTCCGCCTCAATGAAAGGCCATTCCTTGTTTTCGGCGACACCAGCAGAGATTGCCTTTTGTGATGCAGCAAGCCAAATTTCGAGCCGTGATATAGCACTCTCATCGTCCTTAACGTTTGCGACCTCATCACAGACACTCTTCCAAGAGTCATGAAGCTTTGCTTCTCTCCCGGCCTTTTTTGTAGCGTTGTTTTGGCTTATTATGTCTGCGGCGGAGAGCTTCCCGCTACCTTTCCCCTTTGACGGACCATCTTTCTTGTTCGGCTTTGCGTTCTTTTCCTCCTTGACCGTTGTCTTCTTTCCAGCAGCTTGGGGCTTTTTAGCCTTCTCCTCCACTGTCACAAGCTTCGGATTTAGGCTTCCGTCGATGCTATCGGTTAAACTAGACGCATACTGATACATCTGGTTGAGGTATATTTGCTCCCATTTCCGTGCCCTGCCTCCCGCACGCCTCGCGGCCCTTTCCTGATCTTCAGTTTGAGGTTTTGCACTGGGTGCGACTGCTACGGCTCCTCGCACTTTTGCTACCGGTTTCGGGAGTGCCCTCTGTGCCCGAATTCGCGCCGTAACGAGAGGATTTCTCGGGTTGTGCCAATGCGTTTTTTCATAATATGTCTGGTCATCCTCCTCCTCGTGATCTTCGCTTCCCTCTTCGGCCATAATGTCGATTGGGAGCCTAATATCCTTCAGGTACTTGTCAAATGCCGGATTGCTGAACGCCAATATCTTGCGCCTCCTGACGACAGGAAGTTCGATGAACGATAGATCCACCGACTTGGAAAGAACCGGCAGTTCAGGGCGCTTGCCGCAAAGGGCTTCAACATGATTAGCCAGGATCGAAAACTTTTGCTTTGCCTCCTCGGATAGTTCTTCAGGTGTGAGAATAAGTTTCAACAGAAGCCTGCCATCGACATAATCGCACAGATCATTCTGCGCATCCTCGAGGGAAACAGCGCCGATCCCGAGGAGATCCCCCGAAGCAATAACGAGCCGTTTCAAAAAATCTTGGGCGGGGCTGATAGCGGCGGACACAGCTTCATCGACATCGAAGGGGGCGAGGAACCGTGCGGGGAGCGTGAGTTGGGACAGCAGAATTATATGGATAAGAAAGATGGCAGCCAAATCTCCGTGTTTGCCCTCGTCAAGCTGTAGCACATGAGCAACGGTCGCAACAGCAAGGCGTTCCCGCGCAGATCGAAGTGGTTTCCAATCCGGAGTTCGCGAGTATTCCGGCCCAGGAGGAGGGGTTCCAGCAGGATTTGCGCGTATATCAACCGGCTCCAGGGTATAAAGATTGGTTTCCAGAACATATGTGAATATCTATAAATAACAAGGATACGGATCAGTAAGACCAGTCAACCAGAGTATCCAGACCGGCTATCAATGGCGCATACCTTGCTGTCTTTGAACACGACTTCGTTCATAAGAGCAATGCTGAAGCCCAAAGACATCCATTCCCGGATCCCCGCTTTCAGCAACCCCTCTTGATTGAACAAACCGTCAAGATCGCTGTCTACGTATCCAGTCGGCGGGGAATCCGTGGCGTCTTTATCCTCCATATCGCTACCGCTCTCCCGTTGGTTGGCACCTTCGGCCTCCCAATCCGGCTTCTCGTGAGCCTTTTGTTTGGAACGGCCTGCATCGGAACCGTCGTGATACATGACAAAGTAAGGTCTGGTAGAGTCCAGATATCGCCGAAACTCTGGATCCGCGAGACTCCCGAAAGTGGAGACGAGGCCCTGCGGGTGATCAATACGTTTCATGTGCTCGATAATAGCCGAGCGGGCAAAAAGGTATTTCCAGGCATTCTGTTCCGCCGCTGGCGAACAGGGGATGCAAGCATTCCGGGAGACTAAGGAAGGCAAATTAATCCCATCAACCCAAACAGACAAACACCCAGCAGGATAAAAGATAGAGCTCACTTTCCAAGAAAACCACGGAAAACCTGCACCGCCGGGAGCTCAGCTGCTGTAGAAAGCTCTCGACAACGTAGACGGCATGTAGAAGTTGAAATCCGGTATCAAAATCGATTCTCTCATCCCCAAACACCCAGCGAAGTAGAGAATCCCCATCTATGAGGAAGAACTCCTCCCCAGCGTAATCGCCAACCAGATCCACCCGGACTGGCCGTAACTTATCGTACCATCCCCTGGTGGTCTGCAACTGCATCGCGGGATCCATTGTTTAATCGGTTAAGCGGGATCGGTCGGCGAGGGAGAGTAAATGCTAAGGAAGGAAGCAGAGCGAGGATATGTGATGGAATGAGTTTCTCGCGAAGAGGGTGACGAATTGATGGGGTTGGGAGTTTCGAGTTGTCTTTATTGCCGACGTTTGTTGCCCCTCTTTGATTACGCCTCCGGTCGGCCTGAAAATTGAGGGGTTCGGAAAGTTGGAAGGAAAAAAAAAGTGGTGGGACAGAAAGGTATGCGAAGTATGTAAGCTCGCTCAGTCTGACGGGTGATAGGTGTCTGTGCCCGGGTTGCACAGCATATTGAGGGCAAGAGGTCAATTGGCCCGAGACCAACCGAGATTTAGGGCCCGGGGTCGATGAGGCTGTTCCCAGAAAATTGCACTTTGACATCTCCATTTCGAAGCATCCCAATTGGTGCTGGAGAGATGTTCCTTGGTCCCTCGGCCCCTCGGTTTGATGCCGCCGTTCTGGTGGCGACTCCGGCGTGGTCTCCTTGACGCGATCCCTTCCTTTCCCGGCCCATTCAGCGCGGAGGCGTCGCGGGGGAGACCATGAGCACTTTATCGAGCATAAACAAAAAAAAGAAAAAGAACAAGGAATACTTTGAATCCCAGAAACCAGGAACCGCCAGGGTATCCGGAGAGCAGCATTGAGCACTCGCCCACAAGTGCTTTAGGTCATTGTATGATATCATACTCGTTTCCGTGCTCTAGGGTTTTGCGGGTATGGGCCTTCGGGTCGTGGGACCGGTCGCAAATGAGGTGTTGGGCCTACCGCCGTGGGGGTTTTGAAGTCTTATCGATAAGATCCGCCCCGCCACCCAAACTGTCTCGAACAGTCTACCGGTATTTGACACTACGGCACTCGAGTAAAGTCCACAATCGGCCTATCACCAGAAGCCAGCCGTTCACCCACGATTGGTTTGACCGTGTCAGGAAAACCCCAATCCCCCCCCGAACCCAGAGGTCACAGGGTTGGCTGAGACTTGGGATATCATATCGAGATCTCCCAGGGCAATACCGGTGCCGGCCAAATAACTGGATTTGGCCATAAAGGGTTAGGCGAAAGTTTTTGGGTGCGGATCCGAGACGGATTACAAGTATCGGCAACTCTTATTGACTACCCAGATGCAGGCTATTGTCGCCCGTTAATGCAGTACGGTATCGCAGCCTACCGGCCCCAGAGGCCCCCTGCCTCCTCCGCCAATATTCCACCCACCCATTTGTTAGGGGTGGGCCAGGCACCCCGAAACCCCGAGAATGGACATGAATAAACAATCTATTGTACCGTGTTTTCTTTAGAGGGTTTTCCGGTGTTTTGGCTTTGCACGCTTGGAGGTTTCTGAAGCCTTTCGCCCTGTTGGACAAATGAGTCGTGTTCTAGAGTCTTCTCGTGTGGTCAGGGGTAAAAGCCGGAAAAATAGGGTAATTTCCTTGGAGCTCGTAATTTTCCTAGTATGATACCCCCCCGAACTCCCGTATCATACATCCTACGAGATATAGAAATGACAGAACTTGGGATAGAACACCGAATCTCGATACAAGTACTGTATCCCAACTTCAGTACCACCGGATATATCCGCGGCTTCTACTGGCGTGCCCTGCGAGAGAGATTGGGGCGGTCGGGTCAATATCGTAGTCTATCCTTTCACCTATGAACTTAATGGCACTTTCTAGACGAAAGAGTTTCTGTCCCGAGCTCCTTTTTTTTCACGGTGTCAAGCACACTACCGTATCATACGGTGCCACAGTACTTTTGAAAAATATCCACCTGTCGCCAGTACTTGTATAGCAAACTGGAGTAGGAGAAGCGCTGAAGTGAGACATTTACAAGGAAGAGTTCCCAAAAGAGGTTGGTCCGGGCTGTAGAGGGGTTGAGGGAGGGGCTTTGTTACAAATCCCCGGCAGGTCACCAAGGAAAATCTTGGCTTAGAATTGTATAATACTTGCGGCCGGAGAAATCTCCTCAAAGAATGCTGCTGCTTGGCATTATTCTCCAACTTTCTATACTATAAAAAAATAATAAGGAATTAAAGGACCGAGTGCTGACGAGTGATTCTTGCCGGCTCCTCTTGTCTGGCCTACTATGCAGCTGTTTATTATCTATAAGCAGTCAGTGTTCCCTCGGGATACCCTTCAGGTTGCTCGATGGTCATTGGTGGGCAGCGAACGTAATGGCGGGTGCTGGAGGGATATATCAACGCACCATAGCCCTTCATTCTTGTGTGATGGTTGCGCTATGTCTTGGAATATTCCACCGAGATAGACACGCTTTACTCCTATGTGCTTTATTACGCAGCATGCGACGTACTGTACTGGGGACTAGCGACCCACAGCCTACTCGAAAACTCTACCATACCAAACGCCTCCATCTTCCAATCCTATCCGGAACCTACAGTAAAATCTCAATCCAGAGCACCACTCCTTGATGATCAAGTGTCATCCAAGTCTAACTATTGCGAACTTGAATCATGAACGTCCACCCCCCCCCCCCTCCCATCCCGCACACTTCCATGGCCTTTACAAAACGGAAAAGGACATTCACAAGATGAACCAGTCTCAGTATCAATCTTTATCCCCCCACTTCTCGAACATTCCGTGATATATTCCCACAAATCTATGTCTCCCAGGAACCAATGTACTTTGTACGCTCCATCCACCCCAGCAAATAGGAAAACCCCTTCGAAAATGACGATAATCGCCAACCTCCGCGCTCAACGCAACCGCCTCCGGCAACTGCGGGTGGAAATCTTTGAAAACATCGCTGCACTTCTTGAAGCGTATCCGTTTGAGTTCTGGCAGGCTGAAGGGATGGCGGTTGGCGGCGGGGAAGGGGGGGGAAGTGGGGCATACGCTCGGATTGAGGTGCTGTATGGGCGGTTGGAATTTCTTGGGAGGGATATTATGGAGATTCATGGCGCTATCAGTGAGCTTTTGAAGGATGGGATGAGTGGGAAAAAGGTGTGGAGCGAGTAGGGAGGAGCGTGGGTGGGGCGGTTTGGTGGTGTTGGGTGGGGGTGGCTAGGGTCGTATTATGGAGAGCAATGGAGTATTTGTTTGGGCTTATGTCGCTCGGTGGGAATGGTAGGTTTCCTGTCGAGCTACGGGCTGCGCACGGTTGGAGTCGCTACAATGCCGGAAGTGGTGAAATATCATTTATGTCCAGTTTTTGGGAATTAGACCGGAGGTGGGGGGTAGTCCGTCAATACAGAATAGCTATCCCTCTAAACACAGGCGTGAATCAATCTAGAATGTAATGGGAACCCATTTGGAATACGCCAGGTATCTAGGGGATAGCCTCCCCGTTGAATCCTTTTTATTGTTATGATACCCTCAAGTTCGTTGGGGATACGTGTAATGCAACAGAGACGGCGGAATAATTACCTTTGCAACAGATTACTGCCAGGGAAACGCGCATATTAACAGCACGCAGCTGGGTTGCTTTTAGGACGACTGGGTTGTTATATCTTTTCTGGGGGGGGGGGGGGGGCATGGGGCTGTGGGGATCAACCACGGGGATATTCTCCTTGCTAAGTTGGTGTGTTCAGCCTAAGAGACTGTGGCAAATACTTCTCACATCGCGCACCGGCCTCATTTCGTCCGTAATTAGTAGTTATCAATTTGTTCCGTTCTCCGATTTCGAGATTCCTCGGTGAATAGTTAAACCATCAGTATCTTGTCCTCATGGTGGTGCTTTCGAGTTCCCATACCGATGGGCTTTGTGAAAGTTAGGCATTGATAGTAACCAGTACCTTGACACCCCCCCCCCTCCTTCGAATTCCTGATGATTTTACGATCTTGGAATGGGGAGTGTGTTATGTGTGCAATGGGGATGGACGTTTCGAGGTTTCCTTACTTTTGTTGAAGAGAGGGAGTTCCCTCTAAAACGGATATCTACGGGGGCCTGCACAGAAGGAGCTCTGGTGGGTGGCCAACCGGGGGGGATGCGCTCAGGAGTTCACTAATGGTTAAGGCCTAAACTTGACGACACCCATGGTACTGCCGTTTTGAGAGACCAAGAATATTTAGTCCATCGCTACTCAGCCCCTCAATATTTCTGCCATGTACGGTTGACCTAATTAATGCCCTGGGAGAATCCTTCCGTGATGCACACTAAAAAGTGTGGGAGATCTTAGAGGTCTGAAATGCTTGTAAAGATATTCGGCTATGAGATGTTATCCCTCGAGAGTCGGTAGTTCCAACTCGTCTTGAGCAATGGTGCTAGAAACAAAGCCCGGGGGCACCCCCGGAAGCGAGAGTCGAGTTAGTCAGGAACTAAGGTTTGCGCCCATTTCATCCTCTTGGCTCTTAAGCAGACTATGCATTCCGGGATTGGCTATCTTGGAACGACTAGGCTCAAAATTTCATTGTTACAGTCGAATCAGCGACAATTTCTGATTGGCCATCGTGGGTCCTCAGATTTCTGGTCGTGGGGACCAAGATGACCATCGCACAATATCCCAGGAGCGCCGGTGTCTGACTGCTGCTAAAATGCCAGGGGGGACAACGAACACGGGGGGACAACGAACACTGGCTTGGCTCATGGGAATTACTGTGGCATGAGATGTGGCTTTGCCATGGAATGATACTATATTTGTATTTTTTTTTTTTAACCGATGATAACGACAAAAGAATCTCCAACACCGAAGGCCCCAGGCTGCAGCCCATGATCTATCAAGATAGTTAGTGATACTTCTTTCTTTCCTATTGATGTCTCCTATATAGGTCTTGAAAAATTGACTTACCGCTAGGTCAATCTGGAATTTCTTCTCCACTATTTCCAACACTTTCATCCTCACTTTCCACTTCGCTTCCCCTACCACTTTCATCTTTACTTTCTTCTTCACTTTCCACATCACTCTCTATTTCTCTTCTTCCTCCACCTCCTCTACTTTCACTCCCACTTATTTCTTCACTCCTTGTCACCTCCTCCCGAACCCCCCTTTCCCATATCCCCCCCCCCATATCTCCTCTTCCCATACTTCCTCCTCTTCCATCTCCCTTTCCAGCCCCCGCCTATCCTCCTGGCCTATTGGGTGTCTCTGTTCCCTCCCTTCCTCCTCTTCAATATGTTCTTGACTGGAGGGTGAGTGTGGATTTGCGATTGCAGGTAGGTTTTCTTGCTCGGTAAGTAAACTAAGAAGTTTTTCTTCAATTTTTTTCCGCTCATTGTTGTGCTGACTTGATGTTTTCCAGGATCGGGGAAGGGTTTGCTGCTGCTCTCGCTCACTTGCTTTGGAGATTTTCTTCTCCACCTCTTTCAATAAGGTGCGTTGACGTAGGATCCCATTCTCAATCTTCTCCCTCTTTGCTCTTGCTTTCTTTTCTTCTTCTATAGCATGATGACTAAAGAAAGAATTTATATCTTTAATGTCTAGCTAGGCTCGACCTTCTATCGGTATGCGCTTCCTGCTTTTTCCCTTTCTCTCTCTCTCTGCGCTCTGCTAACAAAATACCATCAATTTCATTTTTCCGCTCCTCCGCTAGGAGCATACTATGATGTGCAGCATGGACAACATTGTCCAATACTCGACGGCGCTTCCAATTCTGTGGTGAGTTTGGGTAGTATCCCTCCTCTCCTTTGATCAATTGTTCTTGGTACCGTAACTGATGAATACTTTTTGGTGTATGGAATCGAACTACCTCTTCAGTTGTCAAGCGGTTTAAATCACCCGGTAAGGGAATTTCTTCGCTCGGTTCTGGCGTACGTGGTGGACTGCTTGATTGTGGGATATTACGTAAGATAATATCTCTATCAATAGGTATGTGCCCCGTATTCCAGAATGCTGATCGAATGTTTCCTGCTGTGAAGGACTTTTGACGAGCAAGGCTAACTATTTCATAAAAATTCTCTTTTCCAATACCCCATTCGCGCCGTGCCCATCTCCTCCGAATCTCTTTCCGATAATGGTGCTTGTAGGAACTAAATATTGCAACATCTAGGGGCTGCAAGCGGTGCGTGGTATGCGGTGGAAGACATAAGGGAATAACTTTATTGTCAAGACAATAAGTTAAAAACCTTATATTGACATGGGAGCTATGGCCATCGAAGATAAGTAATCGAAATTCCTCCTCTGCTTTCCTTGCTGATATGCTATTAGGTCCAAAATTCCATTTTAGAAAGCGCGCCTCCATTTGCTTATCTGTCCAGCCATTTGGCGATTTGCCAAATAGTGTACGTGGAGGAACTCCAGGTAGGTTTTTAAACCATTCTGATTGAAACTCCTTTGCTTTAAAAATAATGCATGGTCCTTCAAGTGGTGTACCATCACCACAAATCCCTTCAATCACAGTTGCAAAGTCTCGATTTCCATCTGTTATTCATGTATTAGTTTTTTTTTTTATTTTTTTTTTTATTTTAGATGTATTTATACCTTGATTGGTGTATGTTAAAGAACCATTTTTGCGTGGATGACGAATAACCTCAATTACCCTTTCTGAGGCACCTAGACCCATTAAAAATCCAATCTCATCAATGTTGTATGTATTTTGAGGCTTTATTGCAAATTGTGTAACAATTTCATAATACTAAATAATTTTAAAGATTAAGTACATATTTTGTTTCAATCTTTATCAAGGTAACGTACCATATCAAAATAACTATTCAATAAATCCCTATTATTTCCACAAAGCCTTCTCTTATAGTCCATCTGTTTACTAAACTTGGACTTTACTTCTGGGTGTCTTTGATAGAAGCTATCTTTTACCCAATATTTACCTAAAGTCCCATTTGGAACTCGTTGTTGGTAAATATACAAAGTATGCTCACACATCTCTTCTACCGTCACCGGAAACCCATACTTCCCTAGGCGCTCACAGCGTTCAACCAGAAATTTTTCTTCCTGTGTTGTGAGCTTTTGTCGCTGTTGATTTTCTTCTGCAAGAGTGCGTCTTCTGAGTTGGCGATGCCGCAATGTTAATGGTCTTACTCCAACCATCTCTGCTGCTGATTTGCTCGTACTCGCTATTTTCCGCTTCAAAAGATCGATTCCCATCTGCTCACGGATATCAGATGATACCTCGGATTGAAGAAAAGAATCATTTGGTGATTGAGACTCAGGAGTTGAAGAGGACATTGTGTGGAAATATATTTTTAAGACGAGTAATCCATGATGTTATGCTCATACTCTGATTCTGCTATTTCTTAACTAATCATTTCATCATCTGACTCTAGTATCAGCCACACACTTGTCTCTCGCACTACTCCTATTACCCCTTAGTGCATCCTATGTTCGCTGTCCCCCCGTGTTCGTTGTCCCCCCCGGTATTTTATCTTCCTCCCATTCCATGCGAGAAAGGCGGATTATCAGGTCGCCATTCAAACCTCTAATTGTCTTCTAGTTTGTCGGTATTAATTGGGTGATCGAGTTCTGGTCATATTCTATCACCAGATCTGTCCCACCTCGCAATCTATGATATCGTATCTATCCGCATCAGACATTACCGGTACCCGACCTGGGCGGAGGAAGGTGCTAAAGCGATTGTTGGACGGTGGTACAATACTCGAGCACGAGTACGAGTACATTGGGGTGACTCAAAAAAAATATGATGGAGATACCGCCGATATAAGCATTAAAGAGTTAGTTTTTTTTCACTTTAATTTTTTTTTCATCTAGCTCTCCTATGAACGCTATCGTGATATCCTCGCTCACAGTCCTCCAGATAGTGGTCGTCGGATGCAATAAGGCAGCTAGGTGTTAGGAATCTCCCCCTAGGTAGTCGCCCCTCTCGTAGGTATATAGAATATAGTATTCTATCATATATCGACAGAATATTGTATACAGGACAAGTTGAGGTAACTTTGGCTGTGAAAGCGGAGGTTCCAAAGTTACTTCGTACCCGTCTGGCCGAAAATGAAGAGCAGCATGCAGATACGGCCGGGAAAGCTTTTCAGGTAGTGACAAGTAGTCCCTACCGATCCTTTTAGCGAGGCACCGGTATTGGTTGGACTTTTCGGATAGGAGGTAATTGGCTGCTTAGTTGCGAACCTTAGTGCGGCAGCAATTTCGGGGAAGCGCGGCAAGCGGCTCGCCGAGGGCCCTTATTGCGCGGTAATGAGTGATGGCGATGTTAGAGCAAATGAGGGAGTTTTGGCGAAGACTTTGGCGTAACTTACCGGGGGCAAGACTTCGGCTGCGACAAGTAAATCTATCCCGGTTGGGGACCGCATCGTCGGTATCCGTTCGCTTATCGAGGGACTAGTTAATTATGCAACTCACTGGCACTGCAACCATTACTCGAGTACCGGTACAGTACCGCTACGGTAATTTAATATATCTTGGCACAGTAACGAGACGTGATATCCACCCATAAGATAAGCACGACAGTTTTCTGCGTCTAGCATCGTAGCGAGCCGGTTCTTCTGCCCTACTCGCATGACACTCGAGTACCGTAGTCGAATAACAATGGCACCAGTGCTTCCGGTGGTCTAGTCAGACAATACCGTAGTCCACCGCCGCCCGATTGCGATGCTCCTCAGCCGGACCGGTCGACTAGAATAGGCCCACCCACCAGGTGGGGAGCACACTAATGCGAGTACTAAAATACTGGTATGCATTAGCCCCCGCCGCCCAAGGGCAACATGATGATGGGACGAGAGAAACATAATGAGGAAGGATAAGAAAGTGCCTTCGCTTCCCTCTTCCATTCCTTTGAAATAGTATTACTCCGAAAGAAGCATCAAAGATGAAAATAAGAAAAGAGTGAAGAAAAGAGAAAAGAAGCGTAAAAAAACAAAACAAAATGTGGACTACGGGAAGAGTACTGGTGTCGGTGCAGGCTAATAGAGCACCGTCCGACTGTAGTTCATTTCGTTAGTAGACGAGGCATCCCCTTCTCTTGCCGCCCACACCAGACCCCGAGGGGCCGGGTGACTACCTATCACCAGGGGCTCTCGAGTACTGTACAGTACTGTACAGTCGCACCCCATTGTCCCGGACCTCGCTCTCCCGGATTCTTCGCTGTCCCGGATGAATTTCTATGAATTATAAATTTCTTCACACCAAAACCAAACCAGTTGCCCCGGATAACGCACTGTCCCGGACGGATTCTCAGGATTTTGGCCGTCCGGGACAACGGGGTGCGACTGTACTAAGCTCTGCTCTTAGCGGAGGTCAACCAAGTAACCGCGAATAAGCCTAGCTTATGCTTTTAATGTATTTACTACTCATAGGGCTGCCAAAAACAATAATGAATACAAAAACATAGGGAGGGGGCAGCCGAAAAGTGGGCAAAAAAGCGTGTGAGCCAGCGTCGGATTTTGTATGCCGACTTGTAGTCCTCTCTAGGTAACGGATAGGATGAGAACTGAAGAAAGTGAAGAAGCAAATTACAGTGAGTGAGAGAATTCCCAAACATGCTTCCCGGAAAATCTTTCAACAAGCAACCAAGCAAGCCAAGCTGTGAATCAAACGATATGTCCTACATCGACACTTCCTGAATAGCCATAACTAGGACCCGACCGTTCCGTGCTCTCGGTTGTGGCCCCCCTCTCGTTCGCCGTCCTGATTTCCCGCTTTCTGCGCTGATGCTGAGCAAAGCAGCACCAGAATATCAGGGCTAGGGCCAGTGCGATTGTGCACAGAGTACCGATGGCCGCTCCGATAATTTGACCGGGGGTTGCCTTACTATAATGTGAGAATCGATTTAGTACTGTGTAGTTATGGACGGACTAGCGAAGGAGAGAGGGGTGGATGGATGGACTTACTTCGAAGCGGTAGAGTTATTTCCGTTCGTATTATCGGTAGGAGGAATGACGTTGACAATGTTCTTGTTATCATTGTTATTATTGTTGTTCAAGTTGTAGTTCAGGTTGGTGTCTGAACTTGGTCTTGTATCGAGCGGTGAACTGGTGCTAGGGGTGGTGTTGGTAGGTAATATCGATACCGGTGGCACGGTGAGGGTTTGGAGAACGATTATGAGTAGTGCGAAGAGTGCAATGGTGCTCGTGGTTGCGGTGCTGGTAGGTAATGCGGATATTGCCGTAAGGGTTTGCAAGATGACGATGAGCAAAGCTAAGAGCACACTTGAGATCGGGGCCGAGAACATTATGGATAGACAATAGGTAGGTATCTGGGGGTTGTTTTAAAGTATTTGTTTGACCTGGGGGGACGTACTTAGTAGTACGGTACCGCTGTAGATTAAGGGCCTGAGCCGAAAGAACTGATGGCGAAAAAGAAAGAGGTGAACTTGTGAGAAGGAGAAACTATATATATTAGACAACTCGCAGGATAGAATACGGGATAGGCGCATGGTGGGCGATCTGACCCAGTTATATACTACACTATGCCGGAGGAGGACCGGCAGCACCAAACGTGAGGTGGGTCAGATGCGGAGGCAGACCACCTCCCCAATGATCCTAGTAATTTAGTGTTGAGTCCTGACCCACGGTCACAGTGAAATGGAGAATTGGAACAACCAGCCCCACGTCACCCCAATTCGATACCGTTTTTACTACGGTTATCGAAACTTTGGGATACTGACGCTGACGTTTTCCTCGAACCGACCCTTTTTCCTTTTTTGCCACCATGTTAAGGGCACCACTGGGTAATTTTGAGAGCTGCCGGGGAGCCCCTCTGGTTTTTCTCCAGTGCTCGTGTCCCCAGACCGAAGTCGCTGCTCTTTTGGTTGTGGCCCGCTAAAGAAATGGAACGCGACTTCAATCCTGCTACTAGAGGAAGACCAGGTCATTTTTCTTGGGCCTAGCCTTGATGCTTGTCATCTTCAGTTTTCCAAAGTTGCGGCAACCATAGTTAAGACTATCCCTTCCGCCGGTGAGACATGCTGCACAAAGCAAGGATGTCAAAGCTACTCCAAATACCTCTCACACTAACTACATCGTGTTATCTAATTGCCTTGAATTGCACCACAACAATATCTGGAGAAAATCCGTATTAACTCGACAGGCAAATGGCTGCGCTATCGGGTAGAGTCGTGTCGGGGGCTCTGTCGGTTCGGGGGGTATGTCGGGAACCTAGGTACGCTCGTGGTGTGGATTTGAGAACAAGGAGGTATCGTTTTCTACGAATACAGTAAGTTATACCCAGTCACAAATATACACGGTCTGCGTACCCGAGTTCCCGACATAGCTACCGAAGCGACATAGCACCCGACACGATTCTACTGGGCATCCCAGCTTTGTGCGGCATGTCTCAGTGGCGGAAGGGATAACAACGATACTTGTATTGTACTCGTACTTGTATGTTGGTCAAGCACAAAACCGATGCTCTCTTATGGACTGATAAGACATGGAAATTCCCTGCCTTCCTAATCCGGCTGAGGCATAGCCTCTTTGCCCGACAGAATCGTGGTGGGTCAATCGTTCGCAACCGAGGAGCGGCACAGCCTCAATATAAATAACATCAACCATTGCAAGCCATAGATATCAGAAGTTTGACCAAATTCTACATTGGCAACAAGTCCCTGTCTCTGAAGTTCTTTATGAAACCCTAGCCGATGATGTTCAGAAGAATACTCCCAAAAGATCCGAATAATCGGGGAGCCATCCAGGAGTTCAATGATAATATTCTGCAAAAAAAAAGTCAAAGTGACTCCCAACCCAATCAGCCGGATCTTAAAAAGCCCAGAGGAGATCTCTCTTTCGGCAAAAAGGGTAGTGGCATTTCGCTCTTTCTCAAGTGTTAGGCGGAGTGTCTTGGCGGCATAACCATGCCAAGGTCCCTGGTATGATAGAATTTATCTTCCAAGTTATAGGAAGTATGAAATCTATCCAAATACAGTTTTTTACCATTTTATCATTCACTACTCTAGCTCTAATATGTTATTAATATTACAAGTAGTTTTAGATTTTTGCTTAACAGATACCAGAAACTTGCTGAAACTAAGATCGTATTTCTTAAGTAAGAGGTTTTATGATTATTAAGTATCATAAAATTTGGCTAATGTAACACATTTCTAGCATTTATACCAAAAATACAATTTTTCAAATCCTGTTATACTAACAACTACTATTGTATTTGAAAATAAAAACTCAGCAATTAAGTAGAAGCTAGTTAAGAAAAATAGCTAGCTTTTTGTTTTTCAGTTGCAATAGTAGTTGTTAATGCAACAGAGTTTAAAAATCACTAATTTTCAGGTATAGGTTTTGAAGTATATGAACCATATATTTATTCTTGAATCTGAAAAATCTTCTACAATATTTTTGTATTTTTGACAATTCCTCCTCAATCTATGGAGCTTTTCTTGACTGCTCAATCATTTGACCTCCTTGTAACTATTCTTCTGAACTTATAATAAGAATATTATTCTTACTAAAATAAGTACTTATGTCTTCACAGAGTCTTATATTTCCTGAACTTAATGTCAATATTGTAGAAGGTACTATAGTACTAGTACTTGAGCAAGCTGCTAATAAAGTTACTATAAGTAGACAAGACTAGTTCTTTATTCTGCTCATCTTAACTGTCTTTCTATTCTTATTAGCTTCAATTGTTAGCTTTATATATAGTTCTATAGAGTAAAATTTAAAAGATATATAAGGGTTATACTTGCTCTAAGTATTGAAATGTTTTTTTTGGCTTGTAACCAAGAAGTAACAGCTCTTTTGGTACTGGATTATGGATTTCCAATTCATTGGTTTTATACTTCTTTATATTAAATATTTGCTAATTATTAAAAGATAATTTCTATAAGTTATCTACTATAAATTTTGTAATATTAAATTTTGTTATTTATTTAATGAAGATTTATGGTATTCTTCATATATAATGGGCAGGGTCTGAGGGTCAGGTAGCCCAAGGCACACCATGATCGAAACAGGCAGGAGTCTAGAGGTGAGGTCAAGGTACAGACATACCACTTGGCAGAGTGGTATGAGATTCGGGACTCAGGGGGGCTTCAGGGTCAGGGTTCACAGGTTCAGAAGGACGCAAGGCAAAAGAGAGTTGTAATTCCTAGGTACAGGTATTCAAAGGAGATTACCAGATTATGTAAAGAAAGTAAAATATAAAGGGGGATGCCCCATTATATGTTAAGGAAATCTTCCCTGATCACTAATATAAAGAAAAGTCCTTGGCATCGTGGGCAGCCAGGATCCTTCTATCAAGTTCTACCAAGTTCTATTGCATGGTATAGTGCAAGAACGCATAAGCGTCAACCTCATTTTGGGGGGTTTTCCATTAAACATCACCCACCCAATAGTAGTCTGACTTAGATAGAAAAAACGTAGAAATATAGAGCAAGTGAAATAGAATAAAAGTACGTTTTTTTAATTTAGTAGAAGCAAGTATCAGGAGTGGTATCCTTGATTGAAAACTTGAATTTTTTGGTGTAAAATTTGAGGCTTGGCATTGAAATGCAACATACAATTATTGAGTAATCATAAATTTAGTATGTAAGTCAATTAAAGTCAATTATATAAAGAAGCATGATATATTATACTGATATAGTATACTACAAACAAAAACAATCCTCCAACGGCCGGAATTGGACGACATAAACGACAGAGTCGCCTCGCAGGCCCTCTTGGTGGTGGCAGACCGAAAAAGTATATTGATCCAGTTCAGCTTGAAGAGCCAGCTTTAATACCAGAGCCAGAAGTCACCAAGGAGCAAGTCATTCTTTCTAGTATATTTTCTCAAAGCTTTTTAAATTATAATAGTTGGCTAGACCTGAAACTAATTTTGTAATAATTGGAATTGTATTGAATTAGATGTAAGCCTTAGTGGCACAGGAAGAGGAGGGAAAGCCCCATGTCGGCAGACAGTTTGGAGAAGAAACAAGAAAGCTCAATTGCAAGGACAGGAAGGTGGAAGAAAATCTCAAGAAGGGGAATGTCCAGATATGGAGAAAGATAGGATGGCAAACATTGAAGTGGAAAGAAATGGGAGAGATGAGGGAATTGAGAAAGGAGAGGTGGAGGAGAGAGAGGTTGAAGATGTGGAATGGGTAGCAGAGGACTCGGAAGTGCCAGAGTCTGGATGGCAGGAGGAGGTAGAGCAAGAAGGTCAGGAGGAGGTAGACCAAGAAGGCCAAGAGGAGGTGAATGAGGAAAGGGATGATATGGCTGAAGCTGTTGGATGCTGGCCAGTCTTAAGCAAGTATCAATCAACAAGGTTTAAGCATCGGATCTTGACAAAAGGTATTGTCTTTTGAACTCTAGGTATTTCGAATCTTGAAATAGCTAACAAATAATTTAGGAATACATGATATGCGACGACTATTAAACTCAAAGAGAAGAAAGCCAAAAGGACAAGATCTTGTACGCCATCTCCAAGTTCTAGAGTTTCTTCGATTCCAAAGATATGGACTGCAGAAAACCTTTTGGCAGCGAAATCGCAAAGAGGCAGCATCAATTGTCGCCGCAACCAGTGGACATGGAGAAAGGGTTTGAAATCGCATTATCCAACATGAAAAGAGTTGGATTAAGGACCGCCATATTCCTCTCTCCAATCAGGAAAAAACCCCTATGCTCCATCGATTGATTGATGATGAAGGAACAAAGCTAGCCTTGTGAGAGTACCTGGCTGGGGCAGGTGAGAGGATTACAGGCCAAAGTGTTGCTTATGCTATTTCATCCTATTGGCAGACTGGAATACTACCCTTCGAAGAACAGCCTGAGTTGAAAACGCCTCTATTAGGATATATACCAGAAACTGAAGTCCAGCTTGCGCAATTGGCTGAAGAGAGACAGGAGGTACAGAAGACTTTGAGCAGTCGCACAGCTGTAAAATGGTTGCAGGAGATGGGGTATAAACTACAGGATGTTAAGAAAGGAGTTTACAAGGATGGGCATGAGCGGGCCGACGTTATTGAGTATAGGCAGGAGCATTTCTTGCCTACCTTGAAACTACTTGAAGATCGGATGGTGCGCTGGGAGCTGATTACTAATCACGAGGGTGAAGAGCTTCGAATGATATTCCCACCAAATCTTCCCGCTGGAGTTAAGCCCATTGTGCTTGTTATTCATGATGAGAGTACATTTAATGCGAATGATGGCCGGTCTAAGATTTGGATTAAAGATAATCATATTCCACTCAAGAAGAAATCCTGTGGCAAGGGAATTATGGTATCAGATTTTCTTACGCCTGGAGGGCGTCTAAGAGTTCCTGCAGGTGAACACCTTGAGCCTAACACAGAATATGGAAACCAAGAGAAGGGTCCAAAGCGCCTTGATGACTATTTGGCCACCTGTTCAATCGGATATGGTGGTGATACATGGTGGGACGGTGACCAACTTGTTGAGCAGGTGCTAACGC